GCGCCAACTTACCATGCCCCCGCCGGGCTCCTTCCCGTACAACGAGGAAAGGATATGTGTATGCAAGTGGGACGTTCGAGAAGCCGTCGCCAAGATCGGAGGGTGTTATTACTTTCCTCCCGAAACTCGGTGTTCTGGATTCATCGACGCGACTTTTATTATCATTGATACGCACTTCCTGCCCTATTCGTTGTTATTGCCATTTAACGAACTACGTTGTTATTGTCATTTAACGAACTAATCGTCGTCCCGTGGGCGGCAGTGGAGCCTCATTGGCCTAACACTCTGTGCAGCGATTGTCGTCTCGTCGAGCGTTACTACGCCAAACGTTTCCACTATCGCACATGTGGCGAAGACGAGCACAAAGAGAAGGCTACTCGATTGAGGCCCTCTACGTCGGACTCAGAGTTGTGTAACGAACGAGACCTTATCCGAAAACGGGATACCACGCGCGTACCCGCCCCCTTTCACGCGAAACGAAGAGCGACGACTCTCTGGGAAGTTCAACGATGCCTTTTAGACTGAATTTCCCATAGCTGCGAGTCCCATGTGCACCTTTTTCTCCCTCAAATCCCGCACAGCGACGGACCTTCTCCAACACGGGGGATTTCAGTTCTGTCTGTGTCCCCGCACTCAATTTTCCAAAAATCCTTGGCACACCCCGTCTTTGCTGCCCTTCCCCGGGCTGGGCGGGCCCCCTTTCGCAAACCAAAACACTCTGACCGGGAAGCAACACAGGGCGTGAGGTTGAGCGTCACAACCATTGGCTGCCACTACCAGCAATCACTGCGGGTCTGGTCCTTGGCCCCTACAACGCTCTGGGCTTCAAAAAAAAAAAAACCTCTTCTTTTATTGGGGGGCTCCATTGCAGGTGGATTGAGGAGACTCAGGGCCTCGTTAAACACTCCTAACTTCCTAAGAGCATCCTCAGATGAATATGGTGGGTGTTCCATCCCTGCCAACCACATTCCCACCACATCTGAGGATGGTCTTAGGGACACCCACCATACTCTCTGGAAACTATGCCAACCACATTCATCTGGGTCACCCATCATATTTTTCAGAGAATATGGTGGGCGTCCCATAGCTGCCAACCACTTTCCCACCACAGATGGGAGCACTCTATCGGAATATTTTCTCAGTACTACTGTAATTTTTCTCAGTGTCGCAAAATTTTCTCACTACCTTCTCAATCTTCTCCGCATGCAGTACTATGCACTTCTCCCAAAAAAAAAAAAAAAAAAAAAAAAAAAAACTATGCACTTCTCAGACTCTGAGCAGTTCCTCAGAATTTTCATGGTACTCTCTGCGACGTGTCCCAAGTACTTGCCCCTACCGTCTTCCCCCGAGCACAACGCACTCTCATTACGACTGCCCCTACCGTCTTCCCTCTCCCCAGCCCACCGCTGGGACACCACTTTGTCTTTTTTCTTACATAATTTTTCAAACTAGAAGTGTGTCCCGTCCTGGGGGACATCGGTTAAAATTGGAACGATACAGAGAAGATTAGCATGGCCCCTGCGAAAGGACGACACGCATCAATCGAGAAATGATCCAAAAAAAAAAAAAAAAAAAAAGTGTGTCCCAGCAACAGTTTCCCCTTCGATTGCCGGGGAGAGGAAGCCCAACGCCCAGACGTATCGGATCGAAAGTCGATCAATTTTCTGAGTAATTTCTTCAAACATCGTGAACCGATCAGCAATTACAGAAAATCGGAAAGCACCCCTGAGATTCATCAGAAGCAATGATAAGAGAAGAATAGCACGCGCAAGTCTTTGCTGTAATGTGAGAAATTCTTTTGATTGTTTTCAAATTTGAAACAGTCGAACGTGGAACCTGATCTTCTTTTCCTTTTTTGTTGTTGTGCTAACAACACACCAAAAAAAAAAAAAAAAAAAAGAAGGGGCAAGTACGTTGAAGTCACAGGTGCAGTCCCGAATGGACAAGACAATCACACCTTCGATGGTGCAGTTCCGAATGGACCAAAAAAAAAAAAAAGGCGGCAAGTACGTTGAAGTCACAGGTGCAGTTCCGAATGGACAAAAAAAAATAAAAAAAATGGGCACGTACGTTGAAGTCACTAGATGAATGACAGCTTCCCGCTCAGGGGAAGCTTCCTACCGTCTTTATCCCAATAGAACGAACGGCCACTACCGCTGTATCTAGTCTATATGCTGGCCGATATACAGTTATAAATGTATAATAGCCGTACTATCTATTCGGTGAAAATGCCCCTAGGGTTCAGCCGATGTTAGGAACTGACCCCCCTTGAATGATTCCTTACACCTGATTGTTCACTAGGGCCGGTAGTTCCACCACTCGCCATCCGCCAACAGTTCGAATGCATGTGGATGTCCCGTCTGTCCAGATCCACTCAAAACTCTTGGCGGATGGCGCGTGATGCAACCACACCCTTACGCTAAGGTACATTGTTATGATCTCATCATTATCATAATTATAATTGTATATATCTCAGATAAATACGAAGACAATTGCGTTTGTATTCCTGATTTGGACTTCAGACACTCTCCATATATTTGATGACCGCGCAATCCGATCAGTGCTGCGATCCCGATGGCCTCCAGAGACATCAGGCCCTCACCCTCGAGCGAACGGGGAGAGGAACACACCCAAAATGGAAAGAGAGGAGTACAAAGAGAATAAAGGACCACGTTCCAGACCCTCACGCCAGACAAAGGAAAGAGAGGAGCACTCGGAAATAAAAGAAGACATCAGCAGGTCGTTTGAAACCGTCGTCTCGCACAAAGCGAGGACAAGTAATGCAAGCAACCAACGAGAGAAGAGAGGAGAACCATGATTACCAAATACGTAGCACTACGCACTCCCAAATTTGCGGAGGGACGATCTCCGCGAGACGAAGCAACACGCGAGGTGTCCCCCTGATGAGGTCGCTTACTGGCAGCGGCCGAACTAGTCGCCGGGGAGTAGCCAGACTTTTTCGTCCTCTTGAGCGGCACTCTGTTCTAGCGTGGAGGAGGGAGGTGATGCCACAGCCGGTTATGATTACCATAGCGGACGGTGGTAGAGTGCGCTTTGACGCTCATATCTTGTTGTCTAAAATATCGAGATTCTTTGTGCATTTTTTTGTGTGCACGGGCGTCTGGTCGGGCTCTCTGTTCTGACTTTCTGTTCTCGTTAACACGCGAGCAGTTCGAGTCGAGTTTCAGCATCACACAATTTCGCATACAAATCCCAAACAGCAGCGAAGGACGATAATAGTGATTAAATCGTGATTAACTAGTTTGATTGAATAGTGTGATTAAATAGTGTGATAGTGATTAAATAATAAATTAAATAGTGGAATCGATAGATGTAAGGGTTAGTGATTAAAGCGAAATTAAATACTGGATTCAATAAATTTCAGGGTAAGGGCCTCCTCGCCACACCACTCGAAATGTGAAAACGACAAAAATGTGGCGAACGCATCTGGCCATGTTCTAGCCCGAAGTTCATTCTCATTTCGCATATTTCGAGAGTGGTGTGGCGATGGCCTAGGTCTCAAAAATTGCCCGTCCCAGTAGTTTCACAGCATTGGCGGGTGCCAACGATGGAAAAAAATATATCTTTCGTTGCAGCTTTAGAGGTCCCAGCAGTTTAACAGCGAAAATATTTGCGAGCGGGAGCCCCCTTTCCTTGCAAAAAATCCATCTGTAGGACCCGTTTAACATTTCTGCTGCCAAATTTCAAAAAGTTAACGCGCTATTTCTGCAATTACCCCTAGATTTAAACAGTGACTAAATGGTAATGAAATAGTGCATACAATAGTGAAAAAAATAGTGAATGAAATTGTAAATTAAATAGTATATAATCGTGAATGAAATAATGAGCTGAACTTTCTCCGCTTTTGAATGGGACATAAAGCACATAAATAAATCCGTGCAAAACAGGGGGGGAAAATAAAAAAATTGGTGAGGAACGGGAACACCAGAAAGACAGGAAAGCAGTAATCACTAAATTTCACTAAATTCGAAATTTCAGCAAAGAATACCTTTCTCGGCCTTTTGGCTAAAAATAGATCAAGTGTAGTATCTGTTCTGATCAGTTTAATATCTGATCTGCGGTCCATCGGACAACTCGAAAAAAAAAAAAAAAAAAAATCAGCAAACACATCCACCAATATGATGGCGATTACGCTGGGAAAAACAAAGACAGAAAGACAAAGACAGGATGAAACTACAGAAGGAGTCTCAAGGAGACTCTCGGAACGGAAGTTTAGAAGAGATAAAGCCTTTCCCAAAGAAAAAGGAAAAAAAAAAAAAAAAAAAAAAAAGAGTCTAGAAGTTGGTGATAACCTTGAGAAGGTAGAGTGACAACGAAAGGAAAACTTGAACGAAATATTCTGATCGACCACATTTCACCAAAAGAAACAGGAAAAGATATTAAAATGATGACTAAATAATGCAATATAATCGACGATAGACACAGATTAGATTCACATTCATCAAGCATGACGATTACAATATAAAACAGGAAAAAATATTAAAATGATGACTAAATAAGTTTTTTTTTTCGGTCTACTAACCCAAAAACGGTAGTGAAGCTAAACTAGAATGGGGATGGAAGAAAAATACGGGGATGGAAGAAACATATGAAGTCTCGTTGCCTAAGAGCTATATTAAGAAGAGAATGCCATTCATCAACGACTGTGATTGTCTTGTCCATCAGGCAAACGAGAAGCAGCAATGAAAACGTGGGTGGCGGGAAAAAAAGGAAAAAAGAAAAAAGAAAAACTGACCGTGACTTGTGCGAGAGAGAGAATTTTACTCGCGAGAAGAAAAGCTCACGCCAGACGTTTTGAACAAACTGACATCGTAATCGCAATTAATTACATCCATCCAGAAATAGAAATGGCACCTCGCAGTCTCACGCGCAAGGGGGACGACAAAACGAAGACAGCAGGCATCGCCAGTATTCTACCTGTTACGTCTTTCTTCGCTTCTTCGCTCCTCGATCCAAATATCCACAGATCGAAACCCGTAGGGCTTCTGGAAAATTGATTGATCGTTGCCGTCCCGGTTATTGAAGCATTCCGTTACGCGGCGTCCCATCGAATCCACACTCGAGACTTTCATCGACGGTCAGCGCAGCACGCGACCTAACGATGGGACACTCGCCCGAGAGAAAACAATTGAATATATATCTTCTATCTACCGATACGAGTGATTACTCCTCTGCAGTAAAAAAAAATCAGAATACGTTCGCAGAGTCACCAAGACTACCCTCCCAGCAAGTGAGTTCCCTAATTCGTCACCATCTCTCTCTCTCTCTCTCTCTCTCTCTCTCTCTCTCTCTCTCTCTCTCTCTCGCTTACCACCAGAAGCCACGGAGCATCTTTCTACGCGCGGAATGCGAAGATGAAGGAGCAGACTCTGCAGCGTTGGATGACGGGGCGTTCTTGGACTTCGGGGCATGCTTCGATGACGCGGCGACGGGAACTCCGGGGGAGGACGACGATGCTGCGGACCGGAAGCAGGCTATCGTGATTTGCTCGTCGACCTGTGCGGGGACAAGGAAACCGTTCGAAAGGACGACCAGAGCCACGTTCGCGTTGATCTGCTTCACCTCTGCTACCGTTGCCGAGAACTGCTCTTGCTCAGCATCGCCCCTGAGGATGACTCCGCTTGTCGTCGCCGGCTCCACGAAGATCGGCATGCCGTTGATGGTCGGCAGTTTGTTGTCGACTGCAACCGCCTGCAGATCCGCTGCGGTCTTCACCGGACGCGACAAGGGTCCCACCTCCATGANTCTCTCTCTCTCTCTTCCCCCCACTCCCTTAGTTTTGACCCCTGCCTTGATTTGTCCTTCTGCTCGCTCCCCTCAATCTACCTTACCTCTCAAGTTGGGAAACCCCCCCGTCATGTACCCCCTTCCCCCTCCACCCTCTCTCTCTCTCTCTCTCTCTCTCTCTCTCTCTCTCTCTCTCTCTCTCTCTCTCTCTCTCTCTCTCTCTCACCACCATAAGCCACGGAGCATCTTTCTACGCGCAGATTGCGAAGATGAAGGAGTTGACTGTGCAGCGTTGGATGACGGGGCGTTCTTGGACTTCGGGGCATGCTTCGATGACGCGGCGACGGGAACTGCGGGGGAGGACGACAATGCTGCGGACGGGAAGCAGGCCATCGTGATTTGCTCGTCGACCTGTGCGGGGACAAGGAAACCGTTCGAAAGGACGACCAGAGCCACGTTCGCGTTGATCTGCTTCACCTCCGCTACCGTTGCCGAGAACTGCTCTTGCTCAGCATCGCCCCTGAGGATGACTCCGCTGCCCGTCGCCGGCTCCACGAAGATTGGCATGCCGTTGATGGTCGGCAGCTTGTTGTCGACTGCAACCGCCTGCAGATCCGCTGCGGTCTTCACCGGACGCGACAAGGGTCCCACCTCCATGAATCGCAGAATCTGCACCATATGGTCCTTCACGTGCTCGGGCCGAGTGATGCACGCCAGACCATCAGGTCCGAGGCCCACTTCGAGGTCCTCATCAGTCTGGGCAATGAAGACGAACGGCACTGATCCGTTGGATCGATCTCTGAGAGCGTCGACTTCCTGTGTGTCGACGAGGGCCTTCACCACGACCTTGAACCGTTGATCGCTCTGCAGAGTGCCAAAGAGATCAGCCGCGCTAGCAGTAGCGAACACTGACGCTACCAACACCACCATCACCAAAAAAGAACTGCGTGCCGCCGCCATCTTCTCGGCTAAGAGTACTCTTCCTGGATCTACAAGGCCCAAGGACGAAAGAGGAAAGAACTTGCTGCTAAGCTATGGCGCTTGCAGCGAAGTGAGAGATGCTAGAACGGGGAGGAAGACAACACAAGCAGCTTGCAATGAGAAATCGATCGACTTCGTGACGTCCCTTTCCACACACGTGGTTTTGTACCCGCCGTATTCTCCTCCTAGATGCGTTGTCCTCTGCATCATTGCCCCCGCGCTTCTCTGTTCACTTTTTTTTTTTTCCCGACAGTCATTCTGACTGCCAAACGCTGCGAAGGGCGGAGTCTGATCTAGCGCAGATCAAGAGGTGTCAACCGTCGATAGCTCTGATCCACGGTCAGTATCTGCCCGTCGTCCCTACGGGAATAACGGGAACTACGGGAACTACGGGAATTACTGGAATTTCGATACCCTCTCCCCCTTTCCCCGGCCTACAGTGCTGCGCAGCGGAGCTGAAAAGTCGCCTGCCGCCATATTTCGCGCCGAAAGGAAGAACAATCCAAAATTTTTCAAAAAAAGACGGTTTTTCTCTTTTCAGAGTATTCAGACACCTTTTTCTTTTCTTTTCGTTTTTTCGGGGGGATTCAGAGCCCATTCGCAACCGACGCTAAGAGATCCCACCGGCCTTGGCGCAGTGAGCCCGTGCCACGTTGGCCGGTTCGGAGGCGAGGTCCCGTTAGCGAAGAGGGTGGGATTAAGCGTCGGAATCTGGGTGAATTTTAGGGAGAGATGCAGAAGAGCAGGTGAGGAGCAGTTCTCTGAACTTCCCCCAAAGCACGTCCAGATTTGGGCAATCGTCTTTGCTACCAGGTAGCCCTAGCATGCCCGGCACCGAAGCTGTACCGCTAAAAAAAAAAAAAAAAAAAAAAAAAAAAAAAAAAAAAAAAAAAAAAAAAAAAAAAGGGCTGTACCGCTAGCGAAGAGTTTGGCGCGGTGAGGGGAAATTGGGGGAAATAACAGCAAGAAAATTGGCAGGGTCGAGAAGCCGCACGGGGGCAAGGTCCCACTTGCACGGACTACGAGATTCTGACCGTTGATCTGTGCTATCTACGGTCAATATCTCATAATTCGTGTACGTGGGAGCTAGCCCCGGTTCGCAGCAACGTGTCGCTCCCCGCGAATGGATGGGAGCATCCTTGAGAAGCCCTGCGGGCGCGCTCAAATTCCTGAGAGCGGGGACGAGAAGGGCGTGGCTCCACTATACAATACTCCACGTGCATTTGGACTCTTCCTGGGCACAGTTCATTCAGAGACTTCGACTCGTCCGAATGCACCTGGTCCTCAAAGCGTCCAAAAATGCATATAGAGTGATGTGTAGGGGAGCCGAGCCCGAAGTTGCGCTCGAACTCCCGAGGGCCAGCTCAGATCATCCTTCGCAGTGTGAGGCCTTGTCGAGTTGGCCGCAGTTCCCGCCAGCGAGTTTCTCACCGCTCCAAGTGTTCCCACGTCAGCACCGTGGGCAAAAGCGGAACGTGGTGTCTTGCGCCAAGCCTACACGAGAGGCTGCTGTTAGGCCTGCACCACACAGCAATGCCTGCTGGAAAAACTTGGCAAAAGTCATAAGCCCCCCGCTGCAAAGCCTTTGTATTGCAGCTACTTGACCACCATGGTTAGGGCAAGGGGCAACATGCATCCCCTCTCATGGCTGGAGGGAGACAACAAAGCTTTGTTCGCAGGGGTCCCCTGTCTAAGCCTTAGGAGTACTGGTAGATAGGTAGTGAAGGTGAATTGAAAGAATTTGAAAGATGATAAAAGATGCGAGAGAAGAATATAGTATAAGCTAAACTGGCTGAGGCGGGTGCGTTGTAGGGACGCCTCCGACGGCTCTGTTTTGCGCTCGCGGACCTGCGTTGCCGGCCTGGCCCAGTCTAGCGTTGCGGCCTACCGGCCCGTCGAGTGGTACCGTGCCGCCATGACACGAAGTTACCACGGTGAAAGCGGCTCGCTAGGGTTTCCCCATAGCGACGTGAATTCCTCACGGCATACCCCTCCTTTACCTGACGGCCATAGCCTCACCTCGGGAAAGAATTCACCATAGCAAGTCTCAAGTTCTCTGCAGTGACGACAATTTGGAGTTATCGGAGGTGCCTACATCGGGGGGCACCCTGCACATGCGCAGCCAGTTTTACCTATCCGTGAGTTACTGGTTAACAGCAGACAACAGCTCGAGTACCGGGTAAAGTTATGCAGCCCTCCACCTTCGAAGAATTTCACTGAGTTCGGCTCTGCCGTCAAGTCATTGCACATGAGCAGCTTGGTTCTGTAGGACGCTAGTACCCAGTCCGGTCAATGTCGACAATGGCTTATTCGTAGATGGTAGTGGAAGATGGTGGACGTTCCCCCTTGGTCCTACAACCTCTCAAAGATTGGCAGGTGCCTCTCACACCGTTCGCTAAGTATCCGCTAGCCATTGCGGACCTCCGCGTGAGGATAAGGCGGCAACGGTAGGACAACACTCGGGCAAGGGACATGAGAGAACGGACATAGTTTGAAGAACGGAACACCACCGCCCAATTTAAATGCAACACTAGGAGGTTGGGCCAAAGATTAAACCAGTTTAATCGGATTCACTAGATGTGGAATGGATCTGTCGTGATTATTGCCCCGGGTTCTTTCTCTGAGTTCCGGACTCTTGGACGTCGGCAGTCCCGTATGGTTCCCAGTATATCTTGTTCCACATTTCGAGGGAAGGGGTTGACGATTGATAACCATGGTTTATTGGTAAAGAATCGCGCCGTGCGGGAATATGCGCCCGGAACACTGTTCGGACGAGTAAAGCCCAAACACACTAGTCGATTCTAGGGTCGCACTCCCCCACCCCTCCGCCATCTCGGACACCAATATAAAACGCGAAGCCAGAGCTTGGCCGGCTACCGCCCAGGCACACATGCTCACAGAACAGCATAAGGTTCGAGATCATTGACAGCCATGGCGAACGGAGCAGTGGAATTGGAAATGGAGGACAACGCATCGGTGGGAGGGAGATCTCCTCCAGGAGGCCAGGATCACCCGGATGATTCCTACAATGATAGGGTTAGACACCTTCTATCGATGTGCTACGACGAAGGCATTATGCCAGATGAGGTCCCATTCGAAGATGTCACGATAGATGGAAACGAGGCTGTAGTTACGGTGGATGGAGATTTCGATGAAATCAAAATTCGATGGCTGATGGAAAGGACAGTGGTAATGCTGTTTAGGAAGCAGCGAGGGACCTTCCGAGGAAAGTGCAAGAGGATTTAGTTTGTGCCTACGAGAATGCTTGGAGAAGAGACGACATATTCGACCCTCTGGTCAGTAGAGGCAGAATAAAATTTGAGGGTCGAACATGATCTCGTACGTCTCGAAAGACAAGGTAGTTGCGGAATGGATGGTAAGTCAGGGAGAGGGAATGGTACAACTTAGAGGGAGAAGTTACCACTTTGAGATGAAACCGTGGATGACCAAATCAGACTGGAAGGAATTTCGCAGAGCGGAAGAGGAAAGAACCTTCTGGGTAATGGGACTACAAGTGCCGCTCAATGCCTATGTGTACTTCAAATCGGCCGTCGCATATGTAATAGGCCCAGTTACTCGGGATCTCCCTCCGGATCGTTTCGGTATGGACCCGAGATTGGCCAACATCAAGTGCGAAATAGATGCCAACTACCGGGCGAGATTGGTTGATCGTATCTGGGTAAGAACAAGATAGGGGGACATGATTGAAGTCAAACTAGTCTCATCGTCCACACCATACTGCACTAAGTGCAGGTGGTACAACCACAGAGCAGATGAGTGCACCGGGGGAAATTCCTGCCCAGGGAATCGACGTGGGAATCAGGACGAGGACAGGGCAATAGAAGAGCTATTGGAACGCATGTCCATGCAGAATGCGCCGCGGAGAGGGAGATCTAGGCAAAGTCGAGGCTCCCCCCAGTACCAGGGAGAGCTTCAACCTCCAGTAGGGAGACCAGCAGCCGCGAGATGTGGGGGTGCATGCCACTCACCACCCCGACAGGCAGAACCGAGAATGCGTACGAGGTCTAATCCGATCTTCTCACCAGGTGTTGAACGAAGAACAGGCTCACACGCCGACGCATACCCTGGGAACGCACACCCTGTCGGAATCTCAGTTCAACCAACAGGTCCAGGACTCACCAGCTCACCCATACCCAGAAGATATGCATCCCCTCCAAAGACAGCAATGGGCGGGGTTACTGTACGCGGCTGCTCTGCTTTAGGAGGAAGAACCGCTACCACCAGGCACAGAACCCCAACCGGAAAGAGGCCAACTTCCGTATAGGCACCGGTTCTCAGAATCACCAGCGAGTAGTAGACACCAGGCCGCAGGCTCTAGAAATGCTGAGGAAGAAGCATCCTCCTCAACAATCGTCCCCTTCTCAAGAAGTTCGAGAGGTCAATCACCGTTAAAAATGGCCAGAACAGTCAGAAACGGTGCATCCTCAAGTAGGCAAGAGTCAGCAAGAGAAACACGACTGACGGACGGGCTTTGAAGAAACAACTCACAAGCTTCGATTGGAAGCTCAGCGAGTCCGCCAGCTTCAGACCACGCGAGGAACGGACAAGCATTGCCTTTGCCAGGCTCAAAAACCTCCCGAAGTAGGAGGATGTGACGTCGAACCAGGGACAAGCAATGGGGTTGGAAAAATGGCTGCTACCAGTCATCTGCACTTTGGCGGACAGCATCGTTCACGTCATCGCATGGCAACCGGAAGGTGGGAAAGTCTACTTCCCTGCGAGACCGGTAGAAGAACCGGTCACCTCCCAGGTGATCCTAACGGCGGCAAGAGAGATGTCTGAGAATCGCTTCCCGATTAGACTGGTCCCGGACATGGCACTACCCAAGTTCTACCTGGAACTAAAGAACAGGAATCTTAAAGTCTTCACTCCGGTTCTGGATGCCTTCACCCCCCTGGACAGGTTGCCCAACTTGATGTCTGAGGGTCTAAGACTAATCCCGCTGTCAGTCTTTATCGAAGAAGATAGAGACTTTCTCAGTCAGATGTGGGCTCAGGGCATATCAGACGCAGAGTTCTTATGGAAACTGAACGAGAAGTTGCCTAGGAACAAACGATTGGAATCTATTTATCTGAGAAATCTCCTGGCGCAGAAATGTCCATCCAGTTCAGCGGTAGCATCTGCTTCGCGAACGGGTTCGAGAACGTCCCACCCAGTTGGGCTGGCTCGACCCCCGCCTCACATCCAATCAGGCAGGCAGGAAAATAGAACGGATGGATAAGCTAACGGTAGTGTGTTGGAACCTCAGGGGACTGGGGGATATGTCAAGGACAGGGAAAAGGGCCCAATTGAAATCATGGATTCACAAGCACAAAGCACAAAGCACAAAGC